TATATTTTTATATTTAGAGGTATAAGTGCCTGGAAAAGCTTGTTCACAAAAATAATTAGTAGGAATGGAAAAGATTTTGTAATAGCAACACCACCCAGTCCTCTGAACTCTTTCTGAGTTATATGCCAACAATAACATAGTAATCTGTCATCAATTTGTTTTAATAAATGTTTTATTTTAGAGTCGATTTAAATTACAAAAAAGTTACAAAGACTGTACAGAGAGTTTCTAAATGTCCCTCACCCAATTTCCTTGTTAACATCTTACATAACCCTGGCACATTAGTCACAACTAAGAAACTAGCATTGGTCCATTACTATTAACTAAACTCCATCAATCTGTTTTTTAATGATTTATCAGCTGTTAACTCAATTTGATATTTCTTCTGTTTTGTTGAAAGCACAGAATTAGAAACATCTGACTTGCAAAAGGATTTGTCATCCAGCCTTTCCCTTTCTTGTCTCCTGGGAAGTGTATAAAAAAAGCTTTACCAAGACTTACATGTAATTGTTGATTATACCTGTTTCTCTTTTACGTGTCAAATCTGATACTCTTGAAGTATTAGGAAAATCAAAATACATCATGTAGTTTGCCCATGGCTGCTATAGGGCGTGGGAGTGGCGTCTCCAGGGTTCACCAATAGGCACCATATGGATCCTCTCCAAGGCTGGTTTTAATGAAAGGAGAGTTGGAGAGTCTTACCTCCTGGGCTGGGGAGGGTTGGAAGATTATGGTCCTTGGTCTGCTTTTTGGCCCTTTGAGAACTAATGACCTATATATCTAGGTAGACCTATATATCTTTGCTGCTACCATATTTCTTGATAAAATGCTTTGTGTCTTATATTACAGCTTTGGAGCTTCAGATTTGTCTCATTTAACTTATGGAAAATATTTCAGGTTAGCCACATAATCTACATGCCAAAGCAGCCTTTATTGTTAAAGAGTTCAGTAAAATTAGTCCTAGATGGTTTTCTCAATGGTTAGAGAGTCGGTCCATGTACTGAAGGGTCGCAGGTTTGATTCCAGTCAAGGGCACATGCCTCAGTTGCAGGCTTAATCCTTGCCCCGCTCTCACATTGATGTTTCTCTCTCCCTCACTCCCTTACACTCTCTCTAAAAAATAATGGAAGATATATCCTCTGGTGAGGATTACAAAAAAAAAAAAGAATGCAGCAAAATGAAACCTATTTTTTAAAAATATATTTTTATTGATTTCAGAGAGGAAGGGAGAGGGAGAGAGAGAGAAAGAAACATCAATGATAAGAGACAATTATTGATTGGCTGCCTCCTGCTTGCCCCACACTGGGGACCGAACCTGCAACCAGGGCATGTGCCCTGACCAGGAATCTAACTGTGACCTCCTGGTTCATAGGTCGACACTTAACCACTGAGTCACTCCGGCCAGGCAAATCTATTTTTTAATGTAAAAAAAAATATTAATGTGTTAATGATTTTGAATACTAAGTGGGCAAATGGATAGGGTATAGGTCTTGCCTTGAGTTTACTGTCCAGACTCATCCTGCAGGAAGGCATGGCCATCTGTAATATTTCTTTCCCCCTACTTTTTAAAAATTTTTTTCAATTATAGTTGACATACAATATTACATTAGTTTCAGGTGTACAATATAGTAATTAGACATTTATATAACTTATGAAATGATCACCCGAATAAGTCTAGGAGCTATCTGACATAGTTATTACAATATTACTGACTATATTATCCATTGATGTCAAGAGGGTACTAAAGTCCCCTACTCTGACTATATTACTATCAGTCTCTCCCTTTATGTTCGTTCATATTTACTTTATATATATAGGTGCTCCTAGGTTGAGTGCTTAGATGTTATGAGAGTTATGTCCACTTTTTGGGTTGATCTCTTCATTATGAAATGTCCTTTGTCTCTTGTTATAGCCCTTGTTTTGTCTGATAGAAGTATTGCTACCCCACTTTTTTTTTATTTGCATTTGCATAAAATACCTTGTCTCATCCCTTTATTTTCAGTGTGTGTGTGTCTTTTGATCCGAAGTGGGTCTCTTGTAGCCAGCATATGCATGGGTCTTGTCTTTTTATCCATTTAGTCATCTTATGTCTTTTGATGTCCATTGATATTTAAAGTAATTATTGATAGGTATGTAGTTCTTGCCATTTTGTTAGCTTTTTAAAAATTGTTTTTGTAGTTTTTCTCTTCCTTTCTTATTCTCTTGCTATCTTCTGTTGTATGTTAATGAATTTCTTTAGTGTGTGGATTCCTATCTATATTTTTACATCTCTTGTGGATTTTTGGTTTGTGGTTACTATGTGCTTCCTATATAATAAGCTATGTTTATAGCAGTCTATTTTAAATTGTTGGTTGCTTAAATTTAAACATGATCTATAAGCACCACAATTTTTACCCCCTTCCATGTTTATGTTTTTGTCTTTTTTACTTCATGTTTCTGTGTGTGTATGTTTATCACTTAATTTATTGTTGTAATTACACATGATCTTCCTACTTTTGCCTTTTAACCTTTTTACTAGCTTTATAGTTGGTTGATCCACTGCTTTTATTATGTGTTTGCCTTTGTGAAAATTTTTCTTTCCTGTATTTTCTTATTCATATTTTCGATCTTTTAAAAAAAATCCCTTTAACATTTCTTGTAATATTCATTTAGTGGCGATGAACTATTAGTTTTTTCTTGTCTGGAAAACTCTTTACTCTCAATTCTAAATGATAGCTTTGTTAGATAGAGTCATCTTGATTGTATGTCCTTGCTTTTCATCCCTTTGTATAATTCGTCCCAATCCCTCTGGCCTGCAAAATTTCTGTTGAGAAATGAGGTAACAATTTTATGGGAGATCCCTGTATGTCACTAACTGCTTTTCTCTTGCTGCTTTTAAGATTTTCTCTTTGTCTTTAACCTTTGGCATTTTAATTATGATATGTCTTGGTGTGCGGTTCACCTTGTTTGGGACTCTGCATTTCTGGCTTTATATATCTGTTTCCTTCACCAGGTTAGGGAAGTTTTCAGTCATTATTTTTTCACATAGGATTTTCAATTTCTTGCTCTCTTCTCTTTCAGGTACTCCTGTGATGCAAATTTTGGTATGCTTGATGTTGTCAAGAGGTCCCTTAAACTATCCTTATTATATTTTATTCTTTTTATTGTTCTAATTGGGAGTTTTCTGCTACCTTGTCTTCCAGATTGCTGATTTGATCCTCTGCTTCATCTAATCTGCTGTTAAGTCCATCTAATGAAACTTCATTTCAGTTATGGTATTCCTCATTTCTAACTGGTTCTTTTTTTACAGTTTCTATCTCTTTGTGTAAGTTTTCACGGAGTTAACCTATTTTTCTCCTAAGTTCATTAAACATCCTTATAACCAGTGTTTTAAACTCTGTATCTGGTAGATTGCTTGCCTCCATTTCATCTAGCTCTTTTTCTGTAGCTTTTGCCTGTTCTTTTGACCATTTGGGACATATTTCTTTGTCTTCTTATATTGTCTTCCTTCTCATTTGTGTCTGTGTAGATATGCTGTATCTTCCAGTCTTGGCAGAATGGCCTTACGTAGTAGCTATCCTGTGGGGCCCAGTGGCACTCTCTCCCTGGTCATGTGAGCCAGGTGGCCTTGTGTGGGTTTTTTGTACCCTCCTGATGCAGTTGAGCCTTAATTGCTGTTGGCACATCAGTGGGTTGGATTGACCCTCAATCTGACAGACTGTGAGGACTGAAGGTGACTACAGCAGAGAAGTTCTACTTTTTTGATTTGCTCCCACTGGACTCTCCCTCAGGAGTGATATACTTTTTGATAATAATTAGGGGAAGGGAAAAGGTTTAGTGTCTAAACAGAATTTGCCATTGTTTCCACTGTCCTCACTCTGTAATATATCTGAATGCAAAAAGTCCTCAACTGACTCAGAATATCAATTTTTTAAATACAATTCTTGTCCTTAGCCAAAATATATAGAACACTTGGAAAGACATGCATTCCTCCTCCAGGGGTGTGCCATGCTAATATTGAATCTGGGAAGTGGGAGAAGGATGGTTGTACAAGGAGACCCAGCAAGAAACCTTGACCACAGGCGTAGATCTCTCTTAGGCATAGACCTCTTTTTGGAAAAGTGCATTAGAAAGTTGAGGATCTGGAAATGGATTTAAATCTCTCCATGTAATGTACCCCTTGAAAGGCTCTTGGGAACCCCAGAGTACACATATTTCAGATGGAATGATGCTGAGCATGCCAAGATCGTGAACACTATAGGGCAGGGGTGGGCAAACTTTTTGACTCGAGGGCCACAATGGGTTCTTAAACTGGACCGGAGGGCCGGAACAAAAGCATGGATGGAGTGTTTGTGTGAACTAATATAAATTCAAAGTAAACATCATTACATAAAAGGGTACGGTCTTTTTTTTTAGTTTTATATTCATTTCAAACTTGGCCCGGGGGCCGTAGTTTGCCCATGGCTGCTATAGGGCGTGGGAGTGGCGTCTCCAGGGTTCACCAATAGGCACCATATGGATCCTCTCCAAGGCTGGTTTTAATGAAAGGAGAGTTGGAGAGTCTTACCTCCTGGGCTGGGGAGGGTTGGAAGATTATGGTCCTTGGTCTGCTTTTTGGCCCTTTGAGAACTAATGACCTAGAATAATTTGTTTTGCCCCTAAGACTTCAATAGTGTACAGACATCTAGCAACTGAAGACCCTCAAGAGACATTTACTTGGTCTAAATCTATGAAAATGGTTCTGTTCTAAATTACCACAGCATAAAGTTCTGCCTTTGAATAGCTAATTTTGAGTATAAGGTGCTGAAAATACAATTTAACATTTTTCATAGAATTCTTGTACTTCAAAATAAGCCTGTGGCCCTCATTTTGAGAAAAGCTGAGATGTGCTGGGGGTTTAGTTTCCTGTTTTCTCATAGTATTTTGGGCAATGCCTGTGAGCTGCCTTTTTGTTAGAAAAGCCCAGATTTTTGCCATCTTTGCCTGTGCAGTCCACATACTGACTCTTCTATTTGTGTAAGAAGAAGCAGGGAGAAGTCAGCAAGGCAGCCAGTGCCGACAGCACGACCGAAGGCACGCCCGCTGATGGCTTCACAGTTCTCTCCACCAAGAGCCTCTTCCTCGGCCAGAAGGTAGGCAACCGTGTGGCTTGATCAGCTCTCAGGCCCTGGGAAAGGGATACAGGCCACCTCCACCGGAAGGCAGGCCTGGGGATTCCCAGAGGCCATTCCTGGTTTCGTGGGTGGAGAGAGTGGAGTGGGGATGGTGGGTCTTTTGGAGTGGCCTCCAGGAGGGTATGGCAGGAGTGCTGGGAGGAGACTGGTAGGCGGGAAGAGGAGGTGGTGGTAAAGAAAAGGGAAAGGCTTCTGTGGGGGTTGTCAAAGCACCCGGTTAGTCTTCAGAAGGAGCTGCTTATGTGGAATAACCTGGTCCTCATGTAGCTCTGGCCAGAAAAACAGCCGGAAGTTAAAACTGGGTCCTGGAAGTATGTAAGGGGGGCACGGAGCCACCTAGGACTCCTCAAGACAATTGTTTGGTTTTGTTAACCATGGGCAATATATTTTCAGCCGCCCCAGTGATGCAACTTTGCCAGGATGCCATGGTTTTGTAAAAGATGATTCACTTTTGTTGAAAATAAAAATGATGCATAGGCTTTTAAGACCGGAGAATGAGAGTTAATTAATCTTTCTCTATTAACACTAAAAAAAGGGGGTGGATAGAGAGGGAATTAAACTTTTCTTAATTTTTTAACTCCTACATTTTAAAAAGTTAAAAGTACAAATTTGGTCTTTTGTGTAAATTGTGTGTAGTTTGAATGCGGTTAAAAACTTGGTTCTGAAGCTGCATCATTTTTAAAACCTCACTGTCGATTTTCTTTTGCATCTCAGTGACACAGTCTTCCTGCTCACGTCATTCATTGCAAGTGCTCCTTCCCCTCCCCCTTCCTGTCACTCAGTGCACTCAGGCTCTCATGGTGCAGTTCCTGTGGTGGACTCTGTGTTCCAGCAAATAACCATTTCAGCTTACATTTTATAACCATTGTCTGTATTTTGTATGCATTTTTCAAAGGAAAAAATAAGCAGCACTAGTTGTCATCTTAAGGTCTGGGGCCTTGAAAGTTTTTGTTTAAAATATTTTTTATGTATTTAAAAATTTTCAACTCAGCAGTGAAGGCAACCACCTGGGTCTTCATGCACAACCTTGAACACATCCTTTGGGTGATATATTGAAAGTTAATGTGACTTGTCATCCAAATTGCATAGGTTTGAATGAAAGTGTGAAAACCCCTGTAAGTTAGGACCAGCTCATGTGAACTTCAGATCCCTTATGCCAGCGGTTCTCAACCTGTGGGTCGCAACCCCTTTGGGGGTCGAACGACCCTTTCACAGGGGTCGCCTAAGACCATCGGAAAACACATATAATTACATATTGTTTTTGTGATTAATCACTATGCTTTAATTATATTCAATTTGTAACAATGAAAATACATCCTGCATATCAGATATTTACATTACGATTCATAACAGTAGCAAAATTACAGTTATGAAGTAGCAACGAAAATAATTTTATGGTTGGGGGTCACCACAACATGAGGAACTGTATTAAAGGGTTGCAGCATTAGGAAGGTTGAGAACCACTGCCTTATGCAGACAATTAGCCAGGACTGGGAAGCCTATTAAGCAGGTAGGATAGTTCAGCCCCTGGAGTCACCCTCTCCCTCACTCCTTCCCCTACCCACCCCACCCTCGGGTGCCCTGACCCTGGCCTCTCCCTTTCCAATG